TGGGATTTTAGTGAAGAGCGAAACAACGTCGAAAGATAGTAATTCTTCACAAGCGTTAAGAGTTTTATGTCTTAAGAAATCCGCAAATTCGCAGGAATTTTTGACAGAGTGTAATAAGTATTCCCAACAACAGGCGACGATATTTTCGCAAGAGAACCAGAAATGCATAAGTCGGAGAATTAACAAAAGAGACGACAGGTCTCAAAGGAATTCCCGGTTTACGAATTTTAGGTAAGCCACAAAAACGTGGACATAAGCCGTCACTACTGTAAAATATCTTTTAGGTATAGTCACCACTCTCACAGGTTTTTTTCAAATCAAGCGACATTTTGTTTAACTTTCTTTGAGTTTTACTGGTAGGATCAGTCTAAGACTGCATACGTACTTTCCTCATTAAGCAGATACAAAGCTTTGAAGTGATATTACTGTTTGTCCATAACCACAGCATAGTTACTCTTGTCAGCAGATAATACGAGCCTGTCCGAATCCTTTTTAATAGCTATAAGCGCATTGAAAACATCCTTTTGAATGTTTTTGGGAAGAGGTTTAGCACGCCTGAGTAACGGTCATCGTTGAGTTGAGAGATGCTCTCCTCGACAGCGGCGACAATTTCAGCAGTCGGCATTTTGCGAGGAGCAATAGCAAACTTCAGACCCTTCTCTAAACCACTCCGTTCTAGCGCGGATAACTACTCGGAGGAAAGGTTCATGACCCATTTATCTTTCAGAGATAAGCCTTCAGGAACAGGAGACCTCTTACTGAGCAAATGGCGGAATTTTCTGCCGTGTTTCTCTCTCTGTTTGGTAAATGTCTGTTGTTCTTTCGAACAGCAGAACTCCTCGACCCAGGAAGTTTCGGAGTTGTTGATCAAAGCAGAGTTCACTGAGTGAACGAGAGAATAACGCACGCAAACACAGTTTGGAACTGTGATATTCATTTATTCGTAACTTTAGAAAAGAAAAGCACTTTTAGCACTCCGCAAAGGAGGCCGAAACCTTAAACTCGATGGAAGCACATAGTTTTCTTTACATAGGTGATTGAAATACAAATGATACACTTCGTCAGAAAAAAGGCAGCTAATTAGTGATAGTATAAAAGGACCTCTTGTGGCAGTGTTTAGATCACCCCTGATGAAGGCACTAGATAGGAGTGTACAAATGTTGGGTCTATAAATCGCAACTTCTTCGGTTACATTCATTAAATCTTAAAACCAGAGTAGCATCAAACTATGTCTGAGTTTTGATTAGTTTTTAAGGTCTTTTATAGAAAGACGAATAGATGACGTTACTGTCAATGATATTTTACGTCTTCACAACGTAGAAAACAAATGGACTCTATGTTGCCGTGGCTCTTTTTAGTAACTGATCACGAAGCACATCAAAATTTGGTAAGAAAATCAGTGACACACCCAGTTGCGCATTGCGTGCCAGTTTCTTTCTTTATTTATTGAGCGGTCACCCCACCATTCCCCGTGCTTAGCTGTTTAATACAGGTTTGACTGCAATTTGCATAGTGATCCCTCTCTTTTCTTCCCTTGCTTCATTGGCGAGTTTTATCCCTTTATCTTCTTTTCCCTTCTCTTTTATTATCCGCGTAAAGTAGCGCCCAGGAATTCAGTGAAGAGCAAAATTCCGATGACGTGGATATATCTTCAGCATTGCCACTCGAGGCCGTCATATTCAGTACGGTGTTCACGTCCGAGCGGGCGAGGAACCTGGGGCACATAAACATCTACAAATACGTAAATGCTTGATAGATCTTGTGTTGAAACGTCACGTGCGTTTGGCCGGGCCTTAAGAATCAGGCTACACCTTTTTTTTTCTATTTACGACTGCGAGGAGCAAAGAGGCTCTCAATCACTAATGTCACTAAAGTCAAATTAGGGAGTGGAGATGACACAGTGGTGAGAGTATTCATAGTCCTCCTACCGTTGCAGCCCGGTGTCGATTCCTGGACCTGCTGGCGCCACATGTGGGTTGAGTTTATTTTTGTTCACGTCCTTGCTACGAGGGCTTTTCTCCCTCCACAAAAAACCAGAACTCCACAATCCAATTCGACTCGGAAACAGTGGACAAGAATAGCCATCTCATTGAATGTTAATCATCAAATTCTTTTTGTTCTCATTATTATGATTTTTATTATGATAATGATTATTATTGGTTATTATTTATATTTATATATATTTACATTCTTGTGCATCAGCTGGACGCAAACCATGCACCGAGGGCATCAGTCACTCAAGTCAATCATTTTGTTCATACACCAAGCACCTTTCTGAGGATTCGTTCAGATCCCAGCATGCAGATCTTTTGAATCGCTGTAACAGCAGCTGTTTCTGATACCTATTATTATCATTAGTTTTATTATTATTATTGTACAATGTACGAAATAGATGCCAGAAATTGAAAAAGCGGAAAGAAATTCGTTAACGTTTAGAGATGTTTAAATGCTTTTAAATAGTACAAGCAGTGCAGCAAGAGTTGTTTGAAAAGGAAAAGCTGTCACTGTTTGCCCTTTTTCATGTTTTCAATGTTTCAATGTGCCTAAATTGAATCTGTCCCAGAACGTTCCACTTACGCCGGAAACAACAGTGGCTTCAACATTGGAAAGTCAAACATTTAAACAGTACTTCGAGCTTCGAGTCAAATACCCGTTCCTTTCCTAACTCTGTGCATACTATTGAGGTTAGCCCCCATACCGACCTGTTCGTGCGTAGGACAATCTATAAATAACTTCAGTGGAGATCACATATTCTAGCCCTGGATCAGGAACATACATTTCTGTCCCTGAAGTTTCATTTGCTTACTTACATCATACTTTTTTTACTTTCGTTATCTATTTCGTAGGTACACCACGTGATTCAGTCAAGCCTATAATATATACTCCAACATAAGGAATTTTACATCAAGTCTAGAGTGTTTGATCTCTAAACAATTTACTTCACGGCTCTTCAACTGTGACATTGCCATGAGTAAGATTTTTGAATACAGACCAGTTAAGAACAGAACCATAAGGTACGCTGCAATTTGTGTACTGAGCGGCAATGTCGCTTTCGGACAGAACTTTATCCCACATGTTAACACTTGCCAATCGGCCACGAAGAGTTTGCTTACGAATAAATCCTCCGCCAATAGAGTCTTGGTCTTGTCCGAGCACCAGGAAGCCGCCAGCCGTAAGTGTAAAGTTCTCAGTGGCATTATTTGTTACCTGTCCGGCAAATTGACCATCTTTATAGAGTTTCGCTACTCCTTGAATATTTTCCCAGGTGAGACACACGTGCTGCCAGGTATCATCGTAGAGATTTGTCGAGGTAAAACTGAAGAAAAAACAAAGAACAATGCGAACAAAACAAAAGTAAATAATATTGTCGATCATTCAATACCCTCCATTTTCATTGTCAGCAGAGTCATTCAGTCTGTCAGTCAGTGGTCAGTCAGTCAATCTGTCAACCAGTGAAGTCGGTCAATAATCTGTCGGTCAGTCAATCTTCAAGCTTCCATTTGTTTATTGCTTTCATTCATTCATTTCAATTTCTGCTATATCAAAAAGTATGATCTGAGCTACTATTTTGAAAGCCGGGTCGGTTAAGAAACCTCATCCTTTTGTGGCTAGAACCGTAATAAGCGAGTCCTCGTTACTTGAAAGATTTTAATGCCCTATTGAGCATTGTGATCTAAATCACATTTCAAATGAAGGACCCGAATAGTTATTTGCAAAGCGCAAGGAAAATACTTCTAGATTTGTTTTGGTCAAAGATTAACATATTTGGTATTTAAATCATGGTAAGAAAAGAGAAAGTAGCCACGGCTTTTCGTTTATTTGTATGTTTAGCTCTCTTCCTTTTTTAGACATTAACTATCTAGGAGGAAGAAGCCGATCATAGCATTTCCTGTATCATGATTTATCGTGGCTCAATTAAAAAATACCCCGACCGACTTTTAAAAAAATATATGCAGCATTACCGGAACAACTTGTTGCCAACATAAACAATTGTCCTTTTTGGGTAAATTTCGACAAGCATCTCATTGTTACGTTTCTTGGCATAGCTGACGACTGTCTGAGCTCCTTTTTCTTGAACAAGTGTGATGAAAAAACACAGCGACAACTGGCTGAGACCTGAAGCTATGGCTGGATTCTTCATGGCATAATTTCCGGTAGAACGCGGCTGCGGAAACACCATAAGGTACTCTATAACAGAGGAAATGAATTGCCGAAATTTGGAGTTGTTTGGGAAACTGCGCTTTCTTCAATGAATTTTCCTTCCTCAGAAGGATCCAGTATTTGTATACATCTTCTAGTATTCTTCATAAATACCGCACGCTTATCGGCGACGATAGCATAACAATATTCGATTGTAAGCAACATAGAATAAGACTCAATCCCGCCTTCTTTTCAAGTTTTGAACGACCCGTAGTTCTACCCAGGTAACTGATAGTTTTCCCCCACTTTCTTTGCAACGTAGCGGGTTCGGGCTGCGTCCTCAACAACTATCTAAGGCCCTAATGTAATTATCAACAGTGGAGTATATGAAGATCGTCGTATAGATGTCATGGTTATTGCATAGGTGGAGAAGGCAAAACAGGAAGTCGTCACTCTCAAGTGAATAGAATGTATGACGTGTCTCTTAGCCTGTTCACCTCTTTTGTGTTTGTGTCTGCATGTTTGCGCGGGTGCCTGGATGGGTGCGTGTTCTCTTCTATACTTCGACCCTTACCTCACTCGCTATAAAGTTCCATAAGGCAAAACATGGACGCATCGCATAGCTTATCCACCGCCTGTTCATGCGTGTGT